TTATGACTTTAAAAGTCAAAATTATGACTTTGAAAGTCAAAATTATGGCTTGTATCTCATAATTATGACTTTAAATTTCAAAATTATGACTATGAAAGTCAAAATTGTGACTTTGAAAGTCTAAATTATCACTTCGATAGTTGAAATTATGACTTGTATTTCATAATTATGACTTTAAATGTTGAAATTATGACTTTAAAAGTCAAAATTATGACTTTGAAAGTCTAAATTATCACTTCGATAGTTGAAATTATGACTTGTATTTCATAATTATGACTTTAAATGTTGAAATTATGACTTAAAGTTGAAATTATGACTTATCTCATAATTATGACTTTAATAGTCAAAATTATAACTGAACATTGAAATTATGACTTATCTCATAATTATCAATTTGAAAGTTGAAAATTTGACTTTGTATCTCATAATTATGACTGAAAGTCAAAATTACGACTTTCAAAAGTTGAAATGATAACTTTTTATCTAATACTGGACATTTTGTCTCTTTTCATTGACAGATATGGGCTTCCATATTATAGAGATTTGTTGCAAATATTTTATTTGTTTTACACTTTCATAAATCATTTAAATTGTTAGGAAACAAACCTGATAATCATTTAAAAAGAAATATAAATTTGTATGCCTCTTTTTTTTTAGTTTATTGTTGTCGTTGTTATCCACAGTTGTCATCACTCTTTGTTAAAAATTCAGGCCTCTCTTGTAAATGAGTCCCCGAGACTCAGTGGGATTAAACTGTATAAATAAAGTTTGAATGAATGAATGTAAAAGTGTGCCATGGAGGATATCTTAGTATATCTTAGATCTTATTACCATTTTTATTTTACATTTTATATTTTTGTTGGATGTAACTGTGACCTTGAGTACAACCAGCCTGCTGCTCTTGGCTCAAGTACAGAGGCTCTTGACCCAAGAGCAGCAGCACCGTAAAGGAATGCATGCTCGCTGCCTTACATGCCAAAGCTTTAAACTAAGATGTCAGACTTCTCTACTGACTTGGCATTATATAAACAACTAGAAAGTTCCTGGAGAAACTTGGATGGGGACTCCCGCGTGGCGCCCATTTTAGAGTTCTGACAGACTTTTTGAATTAGGAAAATGGCATCTTTGTTTGGGAATTACGTCATCGTGGTAACTTGAAATTCCAATAAAAGTAATAACACACATCACGGCGCCGAGCCAGTAGTTTTGATGTAACATTTGTGGGGGTACATGTTGCAGTTCGGGTCTCTTTAATGTTGACAGAAGAGTAAGTTATAAAGTTAAGAAACTCTTTGTTAGGTGGATAATAATAGGTGCTGCCTTTAAAGGCAGTCCCCAACTAAATGAAATATAAACTCAAGGTATTGTGTACTGAATGCTGTTCATCTCCATCTTCTACTGCTTCATCTTTCAGCAGCATCTTTCCATGAAAAGCACCAAAGATTAAATATTTGTAGGAGATAATCTGTGAGATGAGACGAGATTGAAAAATCTCATGATTTGTGGAAAAGTTGATTTGAGACATCCATGGTTCCTGTAGGAACAAAAAATTCTTGTACTAGATTTTATATATTTTTTTCAAAACAAAATTGACTCGAAGGCAACATTTATTTCTGAGAATTCATATTTATCACCAAACTGTCAGCCTGTCTTCATCTTCTACTGCTTATTCATGGTCAGTTCTCTCTGGTGACTCTCCAGCTCCTCCTGGGGATCCCAAAGGTCAGTGAAGATCCACAATCCCTGCAGTGAGTTTTGGGTCAAGGCCTCTTCCCAGTGGGATGTACCTGGACAACCTCCAAAGGGAGGCATCCCAATCAGATGCCAGAACCATTTTAATTGACTCGACTCTACTTGATCTCTTCCTGGTGGCGGAGCTCCTCACCCTTTCTCTAAGGCTGAACACCCTAAAGGAAGCTCCTTGAAGCTGCAGGATCTCGTTAAGATAAGAACAAATAAAGAGATTAAATACGAAGTGTTTGAATTACCAATTTATTGTACGAAAAGCTGAACAATTAAAACCAAAAGATCTGAGGGTAAAAAAAAAAAGCATTTCTGTAAAACTGAGGTGATTTTTATTAAATACAGGACTTTTTTTTTACACTTTGAAAGCTCTTTAAGATGGCACAAAAGAAAGATCCTGGACTGTAAATGACGTGCTGAGCAGGACAGAGAACATCCAGTAGATCTTCGGCTTTTAGAACGTGGAACACTAAACATCAAGGTCATCATCAGGATCCTCCTGGTCATAGTCATCGTTGGCATCCGGCTCGTAAACAATCCGCCCTGAACCCGGCCCTGGGCAGAGCAGAGCTGTTTTCCTGTAACATGAAAAAATGTGTTTTTTAAGTTTTATTTTTTTTTAAAAGAAGAAGAAAAAAGAAGAAATGTAGGCACTTTATAAATACAGGTTGTTGAAAAAGTTGCTAACTTCTCTTTGCTAAAAACAAACGGGAGTGTTAGTTTCTTCTTGGCCTCCAGCTCAGAGTCGGACAATCGCAGATTGAAGGTCAGGTCAGCTGTCGGGTCCACCTGTCAAAAGATGTTGTCCCGTCATGCCTTCTGTTCATACTCTGTTCAGACGAGTAACTCTGGATATTAGACACACTATAATACACTATAATATACTATAATATACTATTCACTATACACTATAATACACTATAATAAACTATACAGTATAATAAACTATAATGGTGCATTTTCCTTCTGTACGTTTTTCGGCATCTTTCACGTTCCACAATGTTTGTGCTATTTCAACAACAAAATGTTCAGCTCGTTCAGAAGAAGGGTGCTATGACTTTTGCTGTTGGTGCAACTTTAGCTTTTTGAAATATTTAGCCTTTTCTGACTTGTTTTTGCTAATAGGAAATGAATTAAGTTCATTTTCCATCCTTCAAATCTTTAGATCTGTTTACAACCTTTTACTGCTCCTTTCATATTTTGTTCTGGTTCACCTTCTTTCAGCTTCCTTGGGCAATTTTTTTTTTTTTTATTTCAGCTAATTTCAGCTGTTTTTTCAGCTGTTTTGTGCTCTTTCAGATTCTTTCTGCTAACTACAACATTTTTGTGCTTCTTCTAACTTCTTTCTGCTAATTCCACCTTGTTATGCTCCTTTCAGCTTATTTCTGAAAATTTCTGCTTTTTCTACTATTTCAGCTACTGGTTTTATGCTAATTTAAGCCTTTTCAGCTAATTCCACATTTTTTGCACTCATTTCAACTTTTTTCTGCCCAATTCAGCAAAAGTGCACTCTCTTCACTTCCTTCTTGTAATTTTTGTTTTTAGCCGCTTTTTTAGCTACTTTTCTGCTGGTTTTTTTTTCTTTCTTTATTTCAGCTTTTTTCAGAAAATTTCCCCATTTCTGTGATCATTTTTGCTTCTTTCAGCCAAATTAGGCAAACATATGTGTTCTTTCTTTCTTATGCTAATTTATGCATGTTCTACCTTTTCATCTACATTTTTAGCAAATTTTAGCTGTTTTCAGATAAATTCAAGTTTTACTTTGTAATTTTTGCTAATTTCAACCTAATTAACTTCTTTATGCTAATTTGTGCTTGTTATGCTCCCTTCAGTTTTTTCTGCTCTTTCAGGTACTATTTAGCTGTTTTTATGTTAATCTTAGCTTCTTTTTTTGGCTAATTCCACATTTTTTAGCTCATTTCAGCTCTTTCCACTTCCTTCTAGTAGCTTAAGGTTCTTTCTGCATTTTCAGCTACTTTTCATCTATTTTTGTTGTTGCTAATTTCATCTGTTTTAGCTAATTTTGTATGTTTGCTAATTTCAGCTTTTTTTTAGCTAATTTTCTCATTTTTGTGCTCTTTCTGCTTATTTAAACCTAATTCAGCAAATATGTGTTATTTCTATTTTCTTCTGCTAATTTATGCTTGTTCTTCCAGTTCAGCTACATTTCCGCATGTTTTAGCTAATTTCAGTTATTTATCAGCAAGTTCTTCAGCAATAAGCATTCACATTGCATTTTCGCAGGAAATGCAATTTCCCTAGTTAAAATTATTTTTTTCGTCATTCACAAATAAAAATTATTATAAACTTGCATCGACATTGTTAAAATTAAAAACTGAAATACTGCAACTTGCCAGTAGGTGGCGAGAGTGATCCCATTTACCAAAGAAAAAAACATTATAAAGGTTAGAAATTCTTCTAAACAGTTGTAGCTTATTTGTGCACATTTAAAGTTTAACTGAAACAGGCTCAGGATAAAATAAATAGTATACAGTTTAACAAAGCGGCTTCAACGTTGTCGTCATTTTTGGGACACAAAGTGACATCAGCCTGGCAGAAAAAAGGCTTTTACTTGATCATTCTTTAAAACTTCATATGTTGAGTACAGATAAAAAAACTAAAATGGTTAAATCATGTCATAGTCTGTCTTCCGGATGGGGGACGAAACGTTTCTCACTTAAAGAAACAGGTCCAGATGACACGATTTAACCATTTTTCTTGTTATCTACCAGGATTACCGAGCTTGCAAACTTTTTTTTTTGCGGAGTACAGATCCACACACCAAAAACTGAATTTTTTTTTTAGTAAATCATGTTTTTCCCACTAAAACCACAGCAGAGCTTGTCTGTTATTAACAACGCCCAGCGTATCACAGAAAAGGTTTAAGTTGCACGTGCTGAACTGCACCTGCTCGTCCTCGCCGTCGTTCAAACTCTGCTCAGGGATACTGCGCTTGCTGTGAACGGTGACCGTAAAATCCTCGTTCACGCTGAACATCTCCTCCTGTGAATACAATCATCCAACGCCATCAATACATTTTTAACAAAGCAGGAACGCGAACGTATAATTCCCGGTGAAAGCGCTGTTTATATTTTCCAACAAGTCTGACCGAAAGCAGCTAGACGGATTTTCTTGTTTCTTGAAGACGTTTTCACTTCCCAACTGAAAAGTTGTCGTAATTTTGATATTTTTATGTCAGTTTTTAAGTGAAAAATAAGCAAAAACGTCAACAGAAATGACAAAAAGTCCAGATGCTTTTGATTCGGCTCGTTAGAGGAGACTCTACACCAGCATATTACGTACGTCTTGCAGAACTTTTCCAGATTTTGAGCGTTTTGTTATTTTTGCCATGGCTTCATCTCGTTTGCCTCCAGGTGCCACAGCGATGAGTGAAGTAGCCAGGTGGCAGACACTTCCCACAGTGCCCTTCTGGTGCATATCTGCATGCAGCAGCACAATAACAGCCCTCACAGCCCCCCCTAGTGAACACACACAAAAATAAACCATCAATCCAAAGAAGAACGGCATCATCTTACACCTTTACTCATTCATTCAACCTTAAAGTACAAGTACAGACAATACACTACAGTAAAAATGCAATTAAAATAAAAGTAGTGTTATAAAACAATAAATCAATGTGCCATATAAAACAAGGTAAAATAGTAAAAACGACATATTTGTTTTGATGTTTCCATTGACCTTATCAAATATTTAAAATCCCCTAAAGAAATTCATTCAGCCTTTATTTACACAGATAAATCACATTGACAAAAAGTAATGAAAGTGACACATGTATAGGATTTTGAGAGGGAAAAAAAATCCTATCAAACTTTCACTCCTTGGCCGAGGACAGAGATTCTGATATTGAAAAAAACACCCCGCACAAAGGCACATAGTGACGCAGACGTTCCACAGGGGAGGGGAGACTACAAGAGTGATCGTGTCAAGGACACTCTAGAGGCACTGTAGGAGTTCTGATAAGAATGGAATGATCAGTCAGTTCCCTCTGGTGAGATCCGTCAACACTCTCGAGGGATGCCGAGGTCGACCTAGGACAGAGCCAGAGCGAATCAAAGAGTCCTGAAATGATGACACGATGTTTATTCAGCTGGGTCCCCCTGATAGGTCTGCAGACTTCCTCCGTGGGAGCAAAATTAAGATGGACAGCTTCAGATCTTTTTGTAAGGTGTTCCAGGTTGCAGGGGCAGGGTAGGAAAAGGCCCTTTTATCAAGTGCATGCTGTAACTGCACTGATGGCGTGACATGTGGGAGGAGATATAAGAAGGAAGCAGACCAAGGAATGATCTATAGATGAAGATGCACCAGTGTGAGAGCCTACGTGTAGATAATGATGACCAAATGACCAAGCAGTACAGAGTGCAGTGATGGGTACGGTAGTACCGGTTATGAATCTTAGCGCGCCATGATAGACAACATTTAACATCTGCAAGGAGCTGGTAGGGGCAATAATGTAAATAATGTCACCAAAGTCAATGGCTGGTTGGAAGTAGCTGTTACAAGGTGTTTTCTGGCATTCAGAGTTAAACAAGATCTATTTCTGAAAAAGAAACCCAGTTTTAGTTTCAGTTTCTTTATCAAGATTTCAACATGCAGCTTAGAAGAGAGATGTGCATCGACCAAAATTCCCAAGTATTTGTAAGAATCTACAAACTCAATAGGAACACCATGCATGGATAAGATAGGAGGAGGAGTTGCTGGCACCGACTTTCTGTTTGTAAACATCCCTTTGGTTCCGTCAGCATTTAGCACCAGCTTGAGATGAAATAAGTCTGACTGAATGATGTCACATGCAGAGTGTACAAGCTGGAAAACCTTGGTAACTGTGTTAGCTCGGCAATAAGCAACAGTGTCATCAGCATAGAGATGTAAGGATGCGTCAGGAATGTTTTGACTTACGTTATTTATATAAATTGTAAAAAGAGTGGGACCTAAAACTGAGCCTTGTGGCACACCATTAGTGAGCATTAGGGCACTAGATAAAAAGTACTGTTACTCTAAATTGAAATAAACAAACGAGAGTGTTTGATGCTGAAAAGTAAAAACAAAACAATGAATAGTTCACCTTTTCTGAGCTGGTGGAGTGTTTTGCAGACAGCAGGTGGAGTCACGTGCCTCAGTATCCACGACAGAGAGTCGATGATTAGCGTCACTGGTTTGGTGTGTGGCGTTTGTTTGACCAGATCTGTAAGATCCTTGAAATTGAACTGGTGAACAGTGAACGCCTGCTGCTCGGTCCACCCAAGGGGATCTGAGTAAGCATTGTGAATGTGTAGCCTGAAATTGAGAAATAAATAAATTTCCTTTAAATATATCAAGGTTCATGCTCGATAATGGTTGGTCCACTGTAGGAGTGTACTGCTTAGTGGGGAAAACAGTTTGTGACTCCTCACACTGATGAAGCCCTTCGGATTGAGGGCGAAACATCTCTCAACAAAAAAAAACGTCCAGATGACCTGTACTTTAAATATACATTACCAGTATATAAAATTAAACTATTGCCTATTTCCTGACATTTTGACCACTCAGAAAAATGTTTTATACACCGAGGGAATTGTTTTTGTGGTCTAGAAGGATGAAAAATGTGAAGGGATCCTGTTGATGTTGGCACGGGGGCTGCACAGCTGCAGAGAGAAAAGCTCTGCAGAGAGTGGTGAAGGCTGCACAGAAGTCTGTTGGAGTCAGCCTCCACACCATCACAGGCATCTACACCTCCAGATGCTGGAAGAGGGCCACCTGCATCATGAAGGACCCCACTCACCCAGCACACACACTTTTTGCCCCACTCCCCTCAGGAAGGAGGCTGAGGAGCATTAAGTGTAGAACCACTAGACTGAGGAACAGCTTCTACCCTGAAGCTGTTAAGACTCATAAATCCCTAACCAGGAAAATCACTGCAATGACACTTTGACTGGTGATATGTCACTTTATCCATGCTGCTGATTATCCATGCTGCTGATTTCTTGCCTTTGAGCCGCTTTATTCATACCCATTTGCTCACAACAGACTCATGTTCAAGCTGCTGTTTAATACACCTTATTATATTACATTATTATTGTTTAGCATATATCTTAGATCTTGTATACTCTTTTTTTTATTATACTATATATTTTTTATATTTTTGGGTGTAACTGGGACCTTGAGCACACAATTTCATTCCACTTCATGTACCACGTGTGATGCGAATCACAATAAAGAACCTTGATTTCTGTAATTAAGCAGTTGAACATCACAACAGTCGTCCAGCTAAAGAATGTTGCCTTGAACAATATGTTAATGTGACACAGTGACATAAAATTCAGGAACGCCTTACATCGAGCACACGGAAGCGAAACAAGTCGACCGTAATGTGCGTGCTTGACATAAAGAAGCTGATCCAGCAGCTAATGTTGGCTGAATCTTTGACTGTAAAAGACGTGTCCTCCAGCCCAGAGTGCAGTCACAACGATGGTTCCTCAACTCACCTCACAGCCTGCTACGACTCAAGATCTCTGTAAAGTTGGATTATATAAACTCCATCTGTTGGGTGCTTGTTGGACAGCGTGACCAGCAGGGAACTTACAAAATAAGTCAGGTAGCAGTGCGTTTAAGTTGTAAAAAATGCACCGGTACTAAAACTTTAACAACAAGCTTCAACTCGAGTTTTATTACAAAACAACTTTTATTCATCTAGGCTAGAAACCCAAAGAAATATAGTTTTAGTTTACACACCATTTTTACATTGAGTCATAGCATTTCTGTAGCGTTTTGGCCGTTCATGTTACATGTAAAGCCTTCTCTGGTGTCTGAAACCGTACTGTTGCCCAAATCCAGAGTGCTCGATTACAACAACCGTTACAGCTCGGCTGTATTTGCACCTTTGCATACGGCCCCTGTTTAAAGGCAAATAATGTAAAAAAAAGTAACATTTCACTTAGATGCTCTAACTTTAATTCCACACACTTAAAGCATGCTTCTCACCAAGTGTGTGTAAATTCAGCAGTGTGGTTTTAAAGACATTTCAACGCTAATGCACTTTAACATACAGTAAGGTCATGACTACTTGTGTTTGTAGATAAAGTCAATTAAAAAAACAACATTAACACTAGACTTGTCTATTTGTGTTCAACACTACTCATCTGAAGGATGTTTCTTACCAAGTTTGTGGAAATTCAGCTGTGGGGTTTTAAAGACATTTCAACGTTAAGGCCCGTCCGCACTACGTGTTTACAGGCTAGTGAAATAATGAAAACAACATTACCACTAGATCTAACAAAGTTGAGTCAGCTCTTCTGAAAGGAATTGTCCATCGTTAAAACAGAGACACATACATGAGTTTTGTTGAACACAGGTAAGGTTAGGTTTAGTCATATGCAGATCAACAAAAGGTCAACAATGGAATGAAATGCTCAGGACGAGAAGAACTGTCTCGACTCGCCACAAAAACAACAAGAAATACCAAAACATGCTACAAAAATACAAAAACAAGACAGCAAACATGAAAAAAAAAACAACTACAGCAGCATGGTTCCTATTAGAGTAATTCTGTTAGCTGTGTGGTTCTGTTGGCAGTGAGGTTCTCTTAGCATCATGGTCCCATTAGCGGCATGGTCCCGTTAGCAACATAGTTCTGTTAGCAGTGAGGTTCTTTTAGCATCATGGTCCCATTAGCAACATGGTCTCGTTAGCAGCATGGTTCTGTTAGCAGTGTGGTTCTGTTGGCAGTGAGGTTCTCTTAGCAACATGGTCCCGTTAGCAGCATGGTTCTGTTAGTAGTGAGGTTCTTTTAGCATCAAAATCCCATTAGCAGCATGGTCCTGTTAGCAGCATGGTTCTGTTAGCAGTATGGTTCTGTTGGCAGTGTGGTTCTCTTAGCAACATGGTCTTGTTAGCAGTGTGGTTCTGTTAGCGATGAGGTTATTTTAGCATCATGGTCCCATTAGCAGCATGGTTCTGTTAGCAGTGTGGTTCTGTTTGCAGTGCGGTTCTCTTAGAAACATGGTCCTGTTAGAAGCATGGTTCTGTTAGCAGTGTGGTTCTGTTGGCAGTGTGGTTCTCT